TGTAGTTAAAGGTTGTTTTCTAATGCATGTATGTAAGTAGGTTAATTATGATCGCCCATGGAACACTTGGTGTGTCACACTACCCCACTTCAGAGGCTTTGGCACAGTAGACAATACTACTGTGCTGTTTACCACTTGGAGCTTCCTAGGTTTGAATCAATTATCTTTATAGATTACTTTTGAATATTGATTATATGGGTGCAATAATCTTCTCAGGGTTGAAGTTACCTTCAGTGAGGCGTTTTATTTCTTTGGCATACACTTCTCAATTTCAGTCAAAATTAGAACTGCTGGCACTGGTCTTTTTTATTACATTGAATAGTCAATAAAGGAGACATGGGAGGTACTTTTCCGGTGAGTGTTGTTTGCTGACTGCATTTCTTTCTGATTTGGTTACCAGCCTGAACTTCAGGTCTTCTCCAGCCATTACTGGCTCCATCACTGCTCTCATTTCTGATTTGTCCCTTGTCATGGCCTATTTCTGACATTTGCCTTTCTTAAGTCCGAATTCCAAAATCTGTCTAGGTCTGGTTCAAGTGTCTTGTCCTTGTGTGGTTCTCACCTGTGTCTCTACCCCTCGTGTTTGTTTCAACACAGGATGAGTTGAAAGTACTGGGGAAAAGGTGCCTTATTTTTGTTCTAACTGGCACTGTAATACTAAAACAGCATGCTCCACAAATTTATTGTTATTTAACTACCTCTGTGTAGACAGATGTGTTGAGAGAATTTATCTCTCTCCTTGTTGAAGGAATATACACGAGGAAGGTTTTCAAAAGCCTCTTGCTTGTCTTTGTCTATTTGGATGGATCTGTACGAGAGCAATAAGGTACAACCTGATACTCAGGCCTTCTGCCACATTTCAATGCCAATTTACATAGATGAGTTACAGCTAATATTTTCTTAAATTGACATAGAATATTCTACTCTAACATTGTTTTAGAAATATTTCAGTAATTTCTTCAGAAATTTGCCTGAATTTCCTAGGCAGTTGTAAAGGTAAACTCAGTTTTAGCAAATACTTAATTAAGACAGCTGAGAAGGTAAACTTAATTCTAACAAATACTTTAGCAGCTGGAAACAGGAACTTATAAGGGCAAATAGTGGGCAGCAAAGGGCTTATGACTCTGTCAGTACTGTGTCTCAGCTTGGTGCATGGCTTTTTAAAATGTTGTTTTAAAATATTCATAAGTGGAATTTTTTGTACAGTAATAGGATAATTGTATGCCATTAAAATTACACTATTTTCAGTCTTAATGTAGAGGACTACACTGCTTAAAAGTTGGAATTTCAGACATATATTAGGTTTCATTTAAATTTTAAATGTAGCTTTTTTTTCTCTGTAGGATTGTTGTCTCAGTGTTCACTAACTTTAGTTTGAGCTGTTTTCGGTTACAGGCAAGTACAAAAACATGGGCTGTAAAATGCTCAAATTTGAAATCATTAGGGTTTTTTATTTGCAATAATGTGAGTGTATCAAAGCTAATCTTGGGTGTATCAAAACTAATCTTGGCAATGTCTAAACAGACATTGGTTACACCCATCTTTTGGCTGCAGTATCTTAGTTCTTAGGAGTGAAGTATATTTACAGGGATGATGCAGCCAATTTCTCTGTTGCTGCATCATCTGTTTCAAATGGCTTGTTACTCACATGTTCATTCCTACGTGCTGGTTACTGCCTTTTCAAAGTTGTAGTCCTGCACCATAAAATGCCGTTTCTTCTGCAGACAAGGAAATATTTTGCAGCTGCCATAGATGTCTCAGCTACTGACTTTCAGGCATCAGGAATGAGGCTTTGAATGATCAAGTCTTGAGGAAATGTTTGCTAGTTTGGTTAAAGACTACAACACAATACTGTCATTTTAGGAAATACTAATAAAACCAAATGCTTCAATAAAACATTTTAAATTCTTTTTTTCTAGGGTAGAAAAAAAGTGTATTTTCTAGGGTATTTTTTGTAAATACTGCATCTGAAAAGTGTAGTCTGTACTGGAGTAGGACAGGTCCATCTGGGACAATATCCTGACATGCATAAAGAAAGGCTAGGTAAGGAAGAGAGGTTTTTGGGTAGGACTGTGAAACCTGACTAGAGCATCTTCCCAGCCCCTAAAAATGCACAGTGCATGCACTTCCTGAGCTGTAAGTGGTGTCAGTGCATGTAACAGGATTGCTAATAAGCATTCATGAAAGAAAAGAATTGCTTTCTGAACCCTGTGTAACCATAACATTTCATTGCAGGAGTTATCATGACCTAAATTTACACTCTGTAAAGAGACACTTCTTGTGACGATTTTGCATCTGTCATACTGTAATTTAGTTTTCTGTAGAAAAGGCAGTGAAGTGTCTTTCATACTTGTATTGTTCAGAACACTGCAGCCAGAGTACTTGAGACAGCAGTTTATTCAAAACATTGCAATCTTTCATGAACTTTTTGGGATGCAATGTAACTGTCCACATATTGTCTATAGGACTGATAAGTGTGCAGTTCCATATCAAATTTTTGATGCACTTTTTTTGTTCTGATATTAAGCAACTGTTGCTACTGGATCCTCTTTTCAGGCAGTTGTGCTTTGCAGATTGCAGCATAGCTCTGATCAAAGGCATTGGTTTATTCTAAAGAATACTTTGAAATAAAATATGTATCTAGGTTGATGGTTTCTTGCAGTTGAGACAGCAACTGTTTCAAAAGAACAACATTATTAAGTTCCATAGAACTGCTGATGGACTTTTAACTACAAATGTGCTGCCAAGCTGTGTGTCAGTGATTGCTTTGTATAATGCATTTTTTAAAAATAATTTCACATAGCTTAATTTAATCTGTTTGTTGTCAGGCTTTATAATTTTTAGGAAGTTTGGAGTGTTGGTTTATTTTTCCCTAGCTCTAGTTGCTGACCTACTTGTCTGTTTTATAAATAAAAATAGTTTTCCTCTTTTACAGTCAATCTACCTGTGTAAACTACAACATAGTTTTTACTTAAAAATTTTTCCAAATTTCAAATTTTTTCTATATAATCTTGAGACTTTCGTATGAATTTCAAATTAGAGCAGGAAGGCCAAATGGTGCAAATGTAATTAGGATAAACAGATGGGATATTTTAGAAGGTAGTAAAATATAAACAGAATGAGGAGCTCTGATACTGAACAGCATGCTTGCTGTCAAACATCCAGTTAATTTACTTGTTAAAAGCTGGAATGTAGGTTGGCTGTTTGTGATACTTCCTTTTCCTCTCTTAAAGGGAACTGAGAAGTGTAATTTGATTGACCCAGTTTATCTTATCATTTTAAACTAGATTAAATTGAAAATGCAAATATTCATTTCCTTCACAGGTGCTGAATAATCCACTTTAATTGTTGAAACAGGTATTTAGTAGCTATATCACTTTAAGTTTTGTTTCAGCAAGTTCTTATTGTAGATTTAATTTTAGTTTTTTTAGTTTATAGGAATAAAATATGTTAGAGATGCTGTATTACTTCTGTTGAGTCAGATAACATTAAGTGGACATAAATTTCACTTGAATGTGTTGTGATACAGCTGTGGAAAGATAATTCTATTGTAAGTATTACTATAGAATACTGTTGCAATGCATATTTACTTTATTATTCAGTAGCTCTTTAGCACATCAAGTCATTCTAAATTCTTCCATGTGAATTGCATTACTTTTTTTTAATCTGGGTTGGCAGCTCTGCTGGTACATTTTACCACCTTTTGAGTGTTTTGTAAAAATCTGCTTTGTCATGTCACATGCTGTTTTGACTTAAACTTCGTTATCTTTACATATTTTACTAATTTCTGGTATCTCCTTGATTGTAGTTTGACTGATGGCATACTGCTTGTATTGTCATTTTATTCAGTGTTTCCATTTTAGCTCTCATTTTGAGAACCTCACTGAATTCTTAGTATTTTTCAAGAGTGTGTTCAAGCCCACTCCAGAGTTATGTCTGCTTAGAGTACATTTGGTAACCTTGCAGAAATTCACTAATTGACATATAAATAGAAGAGAAATGCCAGCTATTTGGTACTGAGAGAAAAGCTGGCTGCTTGCTTTTGATTTTCTTTAGTTTCCCTTTCAATGAATACAGTGTGGTTATGAATGAATGAAATAATTGCTTTGGCTTGCATTTTCTTTAGGAGAGATTTGGAATACTCTTAAAGCTTTTTTCAACTGTTGAATTGCTCTGAAGAGAAATTTAACCATATTTTTGTCCAGTTTCAAGTAAATCATATTGTGTGAAGAAGTTTTCTGTACAAGATTTTATCAATTTTTATGACATTTTAAATAGCTATGGGTTTTCTCTTCTGTTTTATGGAATATGTTGGATCTTTTATTGATAAATAATGGTAAAGTTTTGTAGGAATGCAATGCTTCTTTTGGATTTCATACTTACAGATAATCTATTCTAATTTGTTAATTTTGTTCTGCTTCATTTGCAATACTAAATGCACACTGTTAAATTTCCAATAGATGTTTTATCCTGAAAAACTGAGATTAAATAAGAAGCAAAAGTTCCATTAATTTAATTTTTTTTTTTAATGGAACTGGTGCTGTACAAAGGACTTGAGCTTAAAATCAGGTGAGGTAGTTCTTTATCACAGGAAAATGTAATGATACACGTGCAAGTTACTTGCTGTATTTTGTCAATGTTTGCTACAGAACTGTTTGTTGGTTGTGATAGTGAAGCATTATTGTAGCAATTATCTTGATAATCAGTGGTCAAATGCTAAAAGCTTTCTGACAGCCTGACATACAACTTTGGCATTAGCTAGCTGCTTGCTCCTTTTGCAGGAGGTTACCAGTTAATTCTGCCCAATTGCAAGGAGCAGAGCCTGAGAGTATGCAAATCTGAAGCCTCTCGCTTCCTGTGATTGCTGAATTCAGTACATGCTATTGAGAATGCTGTATTTTCAGAGGCTTTTTGTATTCTGCTCACAGTGTTTGCTGAGCAGAAACTGTAGCTAAAAATAACTAAAATGAATTTCTCTGTTTCTTTCTTTCTCACTGCAGGATGACGTAGCTTTGCCAAGGATTTATCAGCTAAGCAGAAAATGAGCTTAACATCCTGGTTTTTGGTGAGCAGTGGCGGCACCCGACATAGGCTGCCACGAGAAATGATTTTTGTTGGAAGAGATGACTGTGAGCTGATGTTACAGGTAATTGCTTCAGCCTTCCATGTGCAGCTGCTCAAATCATGAACTTAATGCACCAGCTTCATGCATTCCTTTTGAAAAAGAAATTTCCCAGATGTTGGGGAGCAATTGTTTTGAAGAATCTTTTGTGTCCTTAGGGAAAAACAAATAGTTTAAGTTTTTTGCCGTCAGTCGTGCAGTTACTGCTTAAGTACAGAGAATCACATTTTCTTCTTATAAATCAAATGCAGAATGCAAGGATAGAAGATGAAATAAATTTTACAATATGACCAGTAAAGTAAGTAGACTGTGTTCCATAAAATGTGGTAATGTTAAGAGAGCTGGATGCTTTTAAAAGGAGCCTTCTTTTTTCAGCAGCTTGTAATCTAATTTAGTCACATGATTTGATGTAATTCTATCCCCATGCCCTGATTGTGTTGTACAAAGGAAAATGAAATTTGTAGAGAAGAGTATTTCTCTGTCTCTGAGGAAGTTGAATGACTCAATTTAAATAGAATTGAAAGTACACAAGTCAAAATAGCTTGATCCTTCAGTAACTTCCTCAACTTTGAGGATGACTCTGTGGGGCTCATAGATGTGTGTAGCTGTGTTGTTATGTAGCCATATTGCTTGCACTTTGTCCTATCAAAGCTTTAGTCCTCTGATCTGCCTTTTTCTAATTTTTTTTTTTAATGACTGATGGTAGTATTTTGGGAATTTCTTCTTAAATTTTTATTGTTTCGTGTAGAGCTCTTAGGAAGATTGAACTTAAAACTAATATTCTTAACACTTCCTACCATTCAATAAAATACTTTGTTTTGGAGTTTTTGTTCCCAAAAGTTGTGTATGCAGCCATTATTGGCCAAATTAGAGTCTTACTTGCAAATGAAGTGCTTAGAGATGTAATTCTACATTTATTACTCAGAATGTAGTATCTCTAGTAAATTGCACTTGGCTCTCAGCCTCAGAAGGCATTGAGATATTTTATTGGTGATATTAGAAAGCACTTGGCAGTACTCTTGATTTCTCTTTAAAAACAGATAGGATGATGTCTTGGTAATTTATGTGGGAAGTATTTAAAAAACCCAAACAAACAAGTGCACAGATAAATCCACCAACATCCAAAACAACAATGAAAAAAAAGCAACCAAATAACCCCACTCCCCTGGTTCCTGCCCAGTAGCTTACAATCCAGAAATGCTTTTATTTTACAAGTAACTTGTTTTAGAGGACTGTTTTCTGTAAATAAGAGAGCATCTTCTTTCTTCTCTGCTATGCCATCCATAGTAGATCAGTCCTTGGAGTGAAACATTTATGCTTTTGTGTTACAGAACTCCACCTTCAAAGGTAGCTGCCTCTTTGATTAATACTGTGAATAGATTTGATTTTTTTACAAACATTATTTGTTGTGCATTTACTTTAGAGTTAGTGAAAAAAATCAAGGGGCATGGGGATTTCAAGAATATTCTTTTTAGCCTGCTGCTATGTTAGGTCTACATGCCAGCATGACTGTAACACCACATAGTGCTGCAGGGGGAGGAACCCACCAAGAGAGAAGCTAATAATGTGTTCTTGTTCTCTGTGTGTAGCTCTGTGTGCAAGACCTTCCTCTCCACACTTGACAACTTGGTTGTTCTCTTACTACAAAGCATGTGGACAATGCATGATAAAGAAAGCAGAATTTAATGCTTTTATTCATAATTGCTTGACAGAAAACATATTATAAGGGCCTTAATGAAAAGAATTTTGACTCTGTTTCATGCTTGATAGTCCTCAGATCTTTACCTGTAAACACTGTTGTTCTAAAAGGTTTAGTTCACATCTGGGAATACAGATCTGCCTCTTTTTGTAAATATGTTCAAAAAGTCTTCCTGTTTAGCTAACTGTTCCATTACACCAGCCTGCTTGTGGGTAAATACTACATTTCCCCCTTCTTTCACCTTATGGTTAGAAATCTTTTTGATCATTGTTGGAGAAATTATCTCCAAGAAGAGAAATCTACATTATTCACAATATCAGAATTGTTGGCAAAGAAGAATGCATTTATTTTCTGTATTCTGAATATTTTCTTAGTAGTCTGGATTGAATTGAAGAGTATATATGTAAAATAACACAAGTTAGAAATTTGTTTTAACTGAGGATGGAGTTTTCTTGTTTGTATGGCATTTATTGCAGTTATTCTGTGATTCCTATTTCTGCAGACATATATAAATCTTTGTACTGGATCTGGCTGGTTGGTAGGGTTTTTTTTTTTATAAAAGCCATTATGGTAGTGTTTTGGATTTGTGAGCAGAACACTGTTGATAGCACACCACTCTTTTGGCTGTTGCTGAGCAGTGTGTGTGCAGTTCCAAGGCATTCTCGCTCACTCTGCTCCTCCTACACACACTTGGCTGGGGGAGTGCACAAAATGTGGAGAAGGAGCACAAACGAGGACAGCTGACCCAAACTGACCAAAGGGATATTCTGTGACAAATATTGTGTTGTGCTTGGCAGTGAAATCAGTGGAAGGGGCTTTGGGGAAGATACCCACTACTCAAAGACTGTCTGGGCACTGTGCTGCTTGTGTTATGTGGGAAGTGATTGCCTTCTCATCACTTGATTTGTTTTACTTCTTCTTCCTTCTTCCCCTTTGCTGCTGAAACTTGACCCATGAGTTCTTTCCTTTTGCTCTTCCTGTTCTGTCCCACATCCCGCTGGGGCAGCAGAGAGGGAGTGAGCAGCTGGGTGGCATTTACTGCCAGCCAGGGCACCACAGTCTTACAAAAAGGAATTTTAAAAGCCCTTAAATTTGAATGGAAGGCTGCAATAACAAAGCCAAAGGAAAAAAGGCATTCAAAAGACTTGCACTGTCTTTGCACCTGCAAAGATCAGCTGAAATGAATAAAAAGTCCAATTATATGTAAGTAATTTGAACCTGAGGAGAACTGTGAAGTTCTGTGGAATTTCAAGTGTTTCTGTAAAAACCACAGACTTGAGTAATCATTCTTAGCATTTCAGATGTGACACAGTATCATGATGCTTTGAGGATTTTTTCATGTCCTTCCTGTTTTAACTTATTTTTAATAGGATTTAACACATAAAGATAATTAAATAAATTTTTAGTAATACAGTATGTATTTGAATAACAACATTGAGAGAAGTTAAAAATTTTTTTTCAATACCTTAGGTGAAAAAATAGGGTAATTCTTGGTGCAGTGGTTCCACTTGAGTGTGGAAAAATGTAATGTGTGCTTGATACTGTAGGCTCAGCAGAACATGCACATCAGTGAATTTCATTGTATTGAGATTGTTTTCACTTGAAAGGTTACTAAGTTAGTAGAAAATGAACCATGTTGCTGTGTCTTCATCTGCCATTAAAAGCACTTAACTGATGTAGTATATTAGTGCAGCTTATATTGGCAGGCAGCTTGTTCATTTGTCTGTCTCTTCCTTATTCTGCACTTTGATACCCTGCCCCCTCCCATTATATCCCTCAAAAATGTGGAGCAAAATAAAAGGTCTAAATATAAAATATTAAGTATAAGCAGGAGAACAATGATCTCACTTCTTTGGGGGGAAAGCAAAGTGGTCATAAGATTAAATGGACAGGAAGAATGAGAAAGTAAATTGAAAATAAGGAAAATAATAGTAGCAAGTCTCAGGAAATGGAAGAGGAGTGAGGTGATAACTATGGGATTACAATAAGAGAAAACATTTCCTTAGGAGTAGTGGTTGTGTGTTCTGATGCCTTGCACTGGCCAGTGCACTTGGTAAGGCAAGTCTGTCCTAGAGCTGACAGACCACAAATGCTGGTACACAGAAGTCATGGAAGTCTCAGACAGAAATGTATCATACTGTGCAATACAGTCCTGAAAAATGAGTTGAGTAGCAAGGATAGAAGATGAAATCTGAAATCAGGAGCTGTGCTGGTGGAAGGAGTTTGCTGCTGTGCAGTCATTTTGTGACAGTGCACTAGCAGAATGAAGAGCAAACATAAGATCAAGTTGGGCTGATGGAGAGGATGAGCTGTGGTCTCCATTCTCTTGGGAGCTCTTGAAGGTGTGCAGCTGCTGACCATGTGCATGCATGAAGGAGACACATCCAGCCCCACCTCCCTGCTTGCCATCAGCACCTCAGGCTGCAAACATTTGGCAAGGAGTGAGTGCTGAAAGAGGGACTTGGGTGTTAGGGAGCTGCTGTTCTTGGATGAAATAGTAGCCAGGCTTGTTCCTCATCTGTGTGGTGATGTTTGTATGTGAAATAAAGAATTAATGAGAAAAATAGATGGATACTGAGGTGCTTAAGGGAGGACTGAGAAAGTCAGAACTGATGGGAATAGTAATTCAGGAGCTGCTCAAACATTTAGTGAAGAGACTTTAGCTAATTGGTTCAGGAAATTGAGATCAAGGAGAAACACTTGGAATGCTTGTATACTACAGTAATTATCTCAGATGTGTGACAGGAAATGGAGTTTGGGAGAGAACAGCAACACCCCGGAATCATAGTCGTGTCTTGAAAGATGCATGTAATTAAGCGGTGAGAGAGAGTGTAAGAAATAAAGTGCAGATGATAATATTAGGTTAAATATCAGTGATCCTAGACTGAAAAAAAAATAAAACCTTTGGATGAGGTATATCTGGATCTGACTGGTCATATTTAGGGAAACATTAAGAAAATTATTATTTTGAATTTATTTAGGATTCTGCTATGGGTACCTGGAGTTGGGTTAAATATTATCCTTTTAGTATGTGGGACTGTCTTTTTAATATAATTTGAATAAATGTGCTATGTAGAAAGAGAACAATCCCACTGCTCTAAGAAATAGCCATAGCCACCTCATGTGGTTTTCAAATACCTTCTTTTATTTGCTTTAATATATTTTAGTCACGGAGTGTGGACAAGCAACATGCTGTACTCAACTATGATGCCTCTACAGATGAACACTTGGTGAAGGATTTGGGCAGCTTGAATGGGGTAAGTTAACATCGGAAATAGATAGCTCTCCATAGTGTTCTGTATCTTTGTTTTGGGATTTCTTTGAGCCATTATTAATTGTACATTAATACCTTTTTAATGCGAGTCTGGAAATGGGGGAACATTCAAAAGGAAAGTTTAGTCTTTGCAGGGGTTTTCCACTGCATGCTTTATAAAGGGCTGCTGTTAATTCCAGTAAAAAGAGGGCTTTGGCAATAGGAAAAGCTCAGAACAATAGAAAGGAGTGTGTTATACCTGTGTACTTCAGAATTAAAAAAAAAAATCTTGACTATAATGTCTAAAAGCCCTGACATATTTCTATTTGTAAAATGTGCTATTATGATATGGATTTTATTTCACATGTTATTTCTTTTTCTTCTGTTACAATAGAGAAAAGAATGTTAAACTGTATTTCTACTGTACATATGTGGAAAAAAATAATTTATTAATAACCATGTATGAAAATAAATTTAACTAATAGTGTATTTGCATTTAGTTTTTCAGAATCATTTTTATTAAAAATCTCTATGAATAATTTGTGTCAAGTAATTGCAAACTAATAAAGGAGAAATCCAAACAAAGTTTTGGATGACATTTTATGTTCTAAGGCTTTTCTAGGAAGTGCATATACAGAAGTCTAGCTAAGCATCACTTTTGATAAAAGTTTTTGATATTATAGCAAATTAATAAAAACATAGTAACTTTGTTATAGTTTTGTATTCCTTTAGATACTCCTTTATGACCTCTCTGTTTGCACTAGTTATGGTTGTTATTTTATAACTTTAAATGTTTGGCTCTGTTGTGAATGTGTACAGAATAAAATCATGAGTTCATCTGTGACTGCCTATTTGAATAATACTTAGAAAGCTGCTGATAGTGAATAGTTTTGTCAAGTACTTAAATAAATAGAACATGAACTCTCAAGTTGCTACCTTTTGATCTTGAAGTGCATTTTGAAATAAAACTCTGCCACGGTCTCTATTAGTTTTTCTGTATTTTAAGGTAACTAACTCAGCCTTCCAAAGAGTCAGTCTCACCTCCATGTGAAACCACTGAAGGGCTATATCCTTTGAACAGTTGTAGACATACAAGGACTTTGGTGCTTAAATATTTAATATGCCCCTGTATTTTCAAAGTTGGTGTGTTGTTTCAAGGCGGTGATCAAAAATAAGTTGAGCACATAGAATTTTTTTGCTGAGACATTTGATTTTATTCCCTAGTTGTGTAATTCTTGTAGTCAGTAGGCATACCGTCAGATTTTTGTTGCCTTGTCACAAAACTGGAATTGAATAGAAATATATGTTAAAAGGTCTTCATTCAACTCCTTTTTTTGCCTCTGATAGAGCTTTCAGTGATTTGCTTCACTTGATCTAATTCATTCTAAAGTTTGAGGTGAAGCTTCAGTTGCTTCAGAGCTGTTTATTCAGAGACATCAAAGGAACTCTTTCTTCCCACTGTTTTGGGCAAGGAATATTAAATCTCAGAGTTCAGTCCTTTGTCTTCACAGTGTTTTCCTTACTGTCACTTTCCCACTGTGCTTTTCTTTCATATCTCTGCTTACCTGGTTTCCGGTTAATGGAGAAAAAGCATTATTTTTGTAACACCATACTTAATTGTGTGGCAGAAAAATGGCTCAGTACCATATGGTGAACTAGGTAATAATTCTTCTAGTCTAGCTGCTGTTTGCTCTGAGAGCACCACCTCCCTAGCAGCCAGGTGCCTCTTCTAATGCCTCAGCAGCTGCTACCCTGTCTTATTTTGCATACTTCATGGAAAGATTTATTTTGCATCTCTCCAGCTGGTCCCATCTCTTTTGAGAATAGATACATACCTTTCTTAGTATAGTATTTCTCCATTCCTGGTAGAATGCACTTTAACCACACATGATAATTCAGAGTTTACGAGGAGGTGGCTAGTGCCTATATTTTGGTTTTGAGTGTTCTGAGTGTTATAATTTCACAAAGTGACTGTGATTGCACCTGATGCCCTAATGCCTGAATGTTCTTATATGTGTGGTTGATTCACACTCAGTTCAGTGAAAAGGTTACAGGAGTCTTTTTCGTGGACTTCTAAATCAAGAAGTCTTTATCCTGGACACATAGATTTGAAAAAAAAAGGCAAAAGTAAATTTTAATACATTTTACATTAAGTAAAAGTGTATTTCTGAAAGTTTGTTGTGACTCATTGTGGACACTCCTGTTTTTCTTTTTATTTTCCATACAAAACAGGTGAAGGAATTTCTCTTTTCTGAAGCAAATGCATGTAGTTGCTAGTATGTAATTACTATTTCCCTGGTATCACTTGTGAACTCAAAAACTTACCAGAAGAAGTATTAACAATCCATGGCCCTGTTGAGTAACATTCTTCTCAGGAATATTTACAGGATAGCAAACTGATGTTTCAGGACTGGATTCTGAAAAGCTCAGCAAACTTTATGAAGGCTTAAAGACAGTTGGCTCTCACTATTTGAAGAATAAACTTTAGAAATCACGTGAATGGAGTGACTTAAAGGGGTAAAGGATTCTTTATTTACAGAGTAACTAGCTTTCTCAAGCTAGCTTTGTCTGGCATCCCAAAGCATGTGATAAGATTTTAAAGCTCCAGTAGCAGAGTAACCAAGACTTGGTTGTTTTATGCTGTGGCTTCAGTCCTGAGCATGAGGCTGTCAGTGAACTGCACACACGGTCACACACAGCCTTTGGAGTTCCTGCATTGGCTGTGCTGTGTATGCACAGGAATTTCAGAACTCTGACCTGGGAGGGAAAGTGCATACATACATATAGACATAGGTCTCTGCAAGGTGGCCTAAATTCTGTTGGTTCACTGAAATTCAGAGTGCCTTGATGATAGTCTTCACAGAGGTTTATGCCCTGGACTCTCAAAATGTTAAAGTGAAATAAATTTGCCTGAAACTTTCCTGAAACTTTCATTCTTGCAAACCCGTGACTAGTTGTACCTTTTGTTCTTATTTCCCATGGACGATATTTTTTACGAAGTAGGTAAACAGTTTTTAAAATAATGAAATAAGCATTCTTTTCCTTCAGGAAAAAAAAATTAAATGGAAGATCCTCTTACTATTTTGGGGAAGGAGATTGTTTCTCTCTAATCACAGTTCATTTAATACTAGACTCATGAGAAACACAGCCATTCAAATATTCAGATTTTTGACTTATTTAATTATTCAGTTTTTTCCAACTTCCGAGTGCTTATAAAATGGCATATTCCAACTGTTTCTTTAGAAACACGTGCATGTTGTAGAAGTTTTAAGTTAGAAGTAGGATGATCCTGTAGGGTTGCAATATACTGAATTCTTACCACTGATTTTTGGTGTTACTCAGATGCACAAACTTGGTCCATGCTTTCTTAAGTCCTTTGACAATTATTAGAAATAAGCTGCCTCAGAACTCTCATATCCAATGCTAAATGCTGTACAAATACAATGATAAGTCAATTCTGGCATTTAATTTGGATTGAAAAAAAAACAAACTACAAGAAAAATAGCAAGTGGAGGTGCTAATTCAAGGGAACATTAATCAACACTTACATGAATATTGCTAACAAGATGAAACGTGCAAGGAATTTTTCAAGGCCAGTGTGCATCTTGGTAATCAACTGGTGTTTTACCTTCCTTTTGACATGGTTTGTTAAACAGTTGGCAATTTGAGCTTATGGTTTTCTTGTGAATCGCCAGTAGAAAATTTGTGGTGCTGAAGACTTTCTTATAGAATTATTTAATTTTGTTGTTTTGGAATTTAATAGTATTTCTTTCTGTTCTCATTTGTTCTGCAGACATTTGTGAATGATGTGAGGATTCCAGAACAGACATACATCACTCTGAAGTTAGAAGATAAATTGAGATTTGGATATGATATCCTTGCCATAAAAATGCAGTGTCAGGATGGGCTTGTCTTGTTAGAAGTATGGTTGTGTTAAGTGTTCTCATTGCTACAAAAATGCCTGTATTAGCGAAAATCTCAGAGTTTAGGATATTCTACCTTGGTCTGAACTACTGATAAAGTACATTTCATTTTCTCTCACTGCAAGAAACCTCAACTTTCAATTATGATTTAGAACATAACGTGTATCTTCTGCGTTGCTAAAGAGCACTACTTTTCTTTGAGGCAAATATATAAATATTTGTATCATATGCAGTTGTATACCAGCAGATAAGATTACAATTAAATATTCAGCAAACTGCTGAATGAAAAAAAATTGCTTTTATTATTAAAACACTAAGGTATCCACTCATGTTCTGTTTACATATAGTCAATAACTTCATTTGCTTTGATGAATATGATAGTGCACAGTATCCTAACAGTGACATGTTTTGAAAGCTGTCACCATTCTAGTGGCATAATAGACTGCACAATTGTTAGTTTTCTGTAAAATCCTCTTGTCAATTCAGAGTTTTTTCAGCATTTTCCTTATAATTTCCTACATACTAATCTTTTTACTGTGGTCAGGGGAGAGATGAGAGTCCCCGAAGAAGCACTTAAGGTAACAATGTGCAGTTCCTGGATAGTTTTTTGTCATTGTACCGTTATGTACAATGACATAGAGAGGTGGTTTTTTCCCACTCTTTGAGGGTTTGTGTTTTGTTCTCTATTTAATATCATGTAGCATGAAAAATTCTCAAGCCAACTCCAGTTATCCCAAAAATCTTCAGAGGCAGAAGGATCGAAACAGAGCAGCTCCAAAAGTTCAGAGTCCAAGGCAGCAGACTCCACAGCTGAAGTCCACCACAAAACTACAGAAGCACTGAAATCTGAAGAAAAATCAGTGGGTAAGGTTCATTTTTTTGTTGCAGAAGCACAAAAACTTGGAAAGTATGTTATTTTGCTTCAGTAGCATGATTGTGAAATTCTGTGGACAGTAAGAATTTCACATATATGAACATTTAACCATAGTTTAGATGTAAATAATGTTTTTGGCTGTTAATTTCTACCTTTTTTACAGTAACATCCACATGTTAAGAACATTTTTAAAGAGAGATTTAATTGGCTTTTGTAATATTTTTGCATATCTCTTTGCCCATATCACAAACTTGTGGCATTTGTGGCAGAAAATTTCTATTTTTTTGCAGTTTAAGTGAAGGTATTTGTTCAGTTTGTACTTTTTACCATTACCAAGTGCACTAATTTTCTTTTGGTTGGTTTGGGGTTTTTTCCCTTTTTAAATGGGCGGGAGTTCTGTTTGTTTGTTTTGCAGTTCCTAGCATTCTTTGTTTGATGTGTGAGGACATAACCTCAGTGTTCTATTGTGGTTTAAAGATTTGTAGATACTGTAGTTTCAGGCTTGTTTCTACACCATCATTCCTATTTATTTAATGTGTCATGGTGGCTCTGCTGTGGTTGCCTTAACTTTGTGTGGGTTGTGCTGCCCCCAGTATGGGAAGGGTTTGGACTTGTTGGAGTGAGGCCAGAGGAGGGTCAAAAAGATGAGCAGGGAGTTGGAGCAGACAGGCTGTGAGATGGAGTTGTTCGGCCTAGAGAAGGAAAGGCTCCAGGGAGACCTCATAGCAGCCTTTCAGTACCTAAAGGGAGTTGGGAAAAAAAGAGGGAGAGTGTATTTTACACAGGCAGCTAGTGATAAAAAGACTAGGTCTGATGGTTTTAAACCGAGAGAGGACAGGTTTTGATTGGATGTTAGGGAGAAATTTTTTACTGTGAGAGTAGTGAGCCACTTGAACAGGTTGTCCAGAGAGTTTGTGGATGTCCCATCCCTGGAGGTATTCAAGGCTTTGAGCAAACTGGTCTGGCAAAAGATGTTCCTGCCCATGGCAGGTCCCTTCCAACCCAAACCATTCTCTGATTCTCTGATGAGCTTCAGCATGAGGCTTGCTGAAGTGTAGTGGATATAACCAAAAGAATGAGAAAGGGATCAAGTATTGTTGTTTCCTTAATATGGAACTTTCTGGGTCTGATTTCCAACCTGATCAATGCTCAACAGTTTTGTTTAGGTTTCATCTCTTCTTCCAGAAGACTCACTTCAAAGAATTCTCTTTCCCACATACAGAATTCTGTGGTATACTTAATTAACCTGTTTGTTTTGTTGGCTAATCCAGCATCTTGTGAAGGGTACATAAAGTAGCACAGTGGGGTGTTTTATCCTCACCTTCTGTTTTTCTTTTCACTCTTCCAAAAATAACAGGGATAGGGATTTATATTTGAGTGCAACTCTCCTAAGCTTTTTGGGGATTGATTCTCTCACTGTTGCTATATAAATGCGCATCTGCTCATTATTGCTAATTCAGTGCACTGGAATAGAATTATGGGATGGTTTGGGTTGGAACAGAGCTTAAACATCACTTAGGTTGCACCCACTTGCCATGGCCAGGGAGACCTTTCACCAGACCAGGTTGCTCAAAGCCTCATTCAGCATGTCCTGGAACACTTCAGGGATGGGGCATTCACAAATTCTTTGTGTAACCATCAAGGGGTTTTTTTTTTAATTAATATTGACTAAGGCATAATGCTGTGTAAAAAGAAAGTACTTAATGTCTTAAAATCATGTTGAAACCTTTGGCATGGCTATGAAATCATCTTTGGAATGCAAGTGTATAAAATACTGAAAAATGTTGACATTCCTAATCAGAAAAGTCACAGACAAGCACCTAAGGTAGATTTTAACATATGATGTTTTATTATATAAAGACTCTTTAAAATACATTCAGAACATCTGTATGACACTAGAATAGCTAAATCTCTGTAGGGTGAAGTATTCAGCCAAAAGATCAGGTCAAACCTAACCCAGCCAATTTATCATCAGGTTAGAAATCTCAATTACAAATCAGTGGTTTTTTTCTTACTTAATTTTTGTAATTAAATCTATTTAACCATGTGCTATAGCACTTTTAGTTGTGCTATAATTTAACTGATGCTTTTAAAAAAAACCCCAACCTGTAAAATTGATTGTGCTCAGTAATGTTTTACACACAAGGTAACTTTCAGCACTCTGTAGTAGCTGTCAGCAATTTGGAACCTTGGCAGCATTGCAAAATTTGATCAGTTTTTCATGCAGTGAGTTCAGATTTCATTGAAAGGTCAGTGTGGGTAAGAATGAGAATCTTCTCACAGAAATAGCAGCAAATAGCTTCTAGGAATGTTCTGCTGTCTTGATGACTTCAAACTGAAAGAATAATATTTACAGATATATTAGGGTAACAATTAGAGACGGTGACTGCCTTTGCATAAACATTTGTGCCAGAAGTTTTATCAGGTCATTAGTAAGCTTTTATATTTAGAACCCCGATCAGTTGCCTGGCCTCCAAGTTTGTTTTGTATTTAGGCAAATGCATGCAACCATTTCACTTCAGCTTCCAGGAGAAATGATCCAAGCAAATGACTTTCTCTTCATGTGATTCTTAACCTAATTATCATAGCTAAACAGAAAAGTTATTTCCTCTGCTTTGGGCTGGCTTTATAGATATTTCTGCCATGCCTCGTGGGACACCTTTGTATGGGCAGCCAGCCTGGTGGGGTGAAGATGAAGCTGATGAAAAAGGTGGTTGTAAGCCAGATAGGAAACATGAAGAAAAAATGCCTGAGACAGGGGCTTCAGGTAAGTGTGTTGTCTTATTACTTGGCTTTTCTCCTCTTTACTGAACTGCATATATTCTTAAATAGGGAACTAAACAGATGTTTGGAAGTTTCACAGTTTGTGTAGATAAAAGCCAATTAAAAGGTAACGTAGTTGAAGAACATATTTTTGTGAGAAACTGTGCATTTACAGATTTGTACTATTATAAAGAAATCAGTTTCATATATAATGTGTCAGTTTTCTAGTATATAATACAATTTTCTATCAGTAAGTATAGCAAATAACGTTACCTGAACCAGTGTGTCCTTTGTTTCAGTTTAATCTGTAGCTGTCATTTTACATAAGAAGGAGTATTTTATTGAAATAATTTCTGGAAATAAATTATGGTTTTTTACATTTGTGTCTGACTTTTAGCTATATAAGGTTATCTGTACTAGAGAAGCAGTCTCTTCTGTAATTCAATAATGCTATATTAGTGAGAATTGCGTGTCATAGTTCTTGAAGTAAAGATTTGTGTAGTCTAAATGGTAATGTTTATTCCCCTGTAATACAGACCTTTTTATTAGTTAGCTTGTCTAGACACAGTATGTATTGCCAGAACTTCAATCTCTGTACCTATAATTAGGCTTCTATATCTATCATCAGGCATATAAATAAAGTGACTGCTATTCTAATAAAGACAGTAACTTAAAACTTATTCAAGTTAGCACAAAATTCAACCATGTTTATTTAGCACTTTAGACACCCATTTAAGGTCCAACGGTTTTAAGTTGGCAGTACTTAAATTGAGGTCAGAATTTCTCTTTTGCTGTCATAGTACTTCCCTTGGTTAACATGAATCGTGTTTTGTAGGAACTGGAGTGAAATCTAGAAATGTGTAAATCAAACTAAATGAATACTTCAGTGTAGTGTTCTGAAGTTCTTTAGTTTGATTTACACATTTCAAGATCTCTGAAATTAAGGTTTTACCATGGCCTTTTTAATGACCTCTTTCATATTATTCTAAAGTTGTCATCATGCAGGCAGTAGAGTCTGTTAAGATTTGGACTATTATAAAGAAAACAGATAAAACCATTTAAATTACTTTTTCCTCATTAAATATAGGATTATTGAAAAGCGATATGCTGAAGTCTGTTTTTTTGATGCAATGCCATGCCATTAACAAGGTGACACAAGATGCCAGCTTCTATTTAGTGTAATGTGTCTGTTCTTATTTTTTATAATTTTAAATTGCTTTTTCAGAAGCGTCAAATTGCATCGAATGATTTACATGCTCTTGTATTCATTTTATCAAGAGATTTTTCAGCGAGTGATCAGTGCTTCTATCTTTGTTCCTGAGCTCCAAAAAAAATGAGATTCCAACTTTCACTCAAACTAATCATGGAGATGCCATCTGTTTCAGTAGTAGACAAAAATAAGTTTGTTCTAGACTGAACTTCAGTAATGCGAATATTTTTGACGTGATTTGCTTAGTGAAGTCATCATAAAGTAAATGATGAATAGAGAAAATAGATTAATATTTTCTAAATTATTTAAATTTGGTTGTTTGTTTTCCATACATATACTATACAAAACCTGAATTTGGGCCCAAAGCCTTCTTGGCAAATACAACATTTTGTCCTTTTAAAAAAAAAATATTAGAAATCCCTCTTATTTGTGTCATTGCTTTTGTTTAGCCATGAATGTATCTCCTATGAATAGTATTGATTTAACAAGAGTGTAAGAATAGCTTTTATTTCCTCAAACTTAAAGATTCATAATTCTGCAAGCATGGAATTCAGTTTGAAAAAGCACATACTAAGCAAAAGCCTATGTGAAAGGAAGGCACTGCAGAGAAAAATCCAAAACCTGACATTTTTGCAGAACCATTTCATTTGTGAGGATGTAAAATTAAAATCTTGTGTATACACAAATGATTTATTTATTTTTTGTGATCACCTAATCTCTGAGCAGACATTAATTGTAGGTTCTGATGGTCTGGTTTTTCCTGTTGTAGATGATTTTTAGTAGTGTTGGCAGAGAGTCTGAGAAGGCAAACCATATAAGAGTTGACATTTGCTTCTATGGTCACTTCTGCAGTCTCAGAACACTGTGTCTGTGTGGAGGTGTGCAAAAGACATTCTGGATGTTTTCACAAAATTATAAAATCATAATATTTTTGGGCTGCTTTGGCCTACAGTTATGTTCTATGAAAAGTTGAACTTCTTTTCAACAACTTATTATGTATTTTCTTCAAACATTTAGGTTTTATAATATAGATGAATATAATTTTAGGAAATCAATATAAAGACACACTTGTATGAAGGAAAATTGGAAACTTCTGAAAATTGTCATGCTTGGATATTTTTAAAATATAAGCAAACTATTAAAAATATTCATGATTGGTGCAGCTAATTATTCTTTCATGGCTTAAATTGCATTAAATGTTTAAAACACTGATCTGGGATATGCTTTTTAATATAAACTGCCTAAAAGTCATTTACAGGTGAATTCTTAAACCAAATTGATAAGTCAGATAACATTTTAACAAAGTAATCCTATTAAAAATCTGTGTCATGTTTTAATGACTTATTGCATGATTATTTATTGAATAGAGAAGAGGACTTGAATTCTAAGAGATGGGGTAAGGTTTAATGAGGAGATTGAAGTGGGAGATTTGTTTCTGTTAAGCCAGCTATAGACAATTACTCTTTACAGTCTCAAGTTAATAAGATTATTTCAATGTTCATGTATTTCTATCACAACAGAAATTCACTAATGAAAGTTATTTACAAACAGAGCAGAATAGCCTGGAAAACTTCAGGAAAAAAAAAATCCTTTCTACGTTTTTTCGACATATGTAATGCTCTGGTGCAATGATCCATAGATCTACTGGTCTGTATTAAAATGAGCAGTTGTGTGTACACCTCTGGCATGACTTTATGCTGCAGCTGTTAAATGTCCATGTTATTGGCAGGTTTATTGGGTGTGTAATTATTATTACTGCCATATGTTACACTCTCACTTCCTGGGATAATGAAAACTGCATTCTCTGCTGATCTTACTTGTAGTTGTAGAATTAATGTCAGTAATGCCTTTACCAGAAATCTAAGAAAAGACAGAAATAAGGCTTTAAGAAGACATCAGGAATCTGAAATAATTCTTTCCATTTGGCATGAATTTTAATTCCAGCATTGCATAAGAATATGTCAGATTAAACATTCCTTGCAATTAAGAAACAATGTCATTTTCAGGGAAAGGAGGCTGACAATTATTTGAGAAATTCCAGTGTAGTCAGTGTGTGCAGGAGTTTACGCACATTGTAATGCGTGATGCTTAACCAGCAGCATTAGCAGTTAAGTTCCTAGAAGTTTGTTCTAGAATTTTGATGAATTTTGTCATTAAATGTGTGCAGGTGCTGCATGTAAGGCTTGCTTTGCAAAGCTCTAGCAGCAAATGTGCACAGTATGTCATGGAGAGCTTACAGAACTCTAAGGACCCATCATAGCAGTATATTTAAGTAGGATTAGTTTTGTCCTTTTTTCACTTAAACTTCTTTAAAGCAGGTAGTTAAATGATTTATTATGAGAGATGGGGATTTATATAGAGTGCTGGCTTGTATTTCTATTTTGAAAGAGCAGTTCTGATATTTTTTCATATGACTGGTTATGAAAGCATTAAAAGACAAAAATGTTCATATTCAATACTAGGTGAATCTTATGTATTTCTTGAAATCTTGTCTCTAAATGAAAAAAAGAGAAGTTTACTTCAGCTGCAAAGCAAAAACCCCAAAAAACAAAAATGTAAGTGGGAAATAAAAAGTAGGAATATGAAGAGAAAGAGGAAGGAAAAAAAAATTCTGTAAAGTATTTGAAAACATTAAAATCAGCTTCTTTTATTACACATACCATTGCACAGTGCCAAATATAAAGCTAACATTAAAAATATTTTGGGGTATTGTGTAAATATCATATTTTGGCTATTTCTTATACCTACTGCAAATAAATATATTGGTTCAGATATACAGAATTTTTTTATGGGAAGTGCTTTGTAAATTCCAGATAATTTTCTTTTGCAAATTTAATTCTTAAAATTGTATTTTTAAGGCAGAAAGAAAAGAGAATGACTAAAAATCTGAAGATTGTGCAAAATATTTTCTGAGAAATCCTGTCATTGCAGATGATAAATTAATATACAGAGGCAGCTTTTTGCACATTTGAATAGCGCCGACGCCTATGATTTTTCTTGTCCAGGTAGCAAAATGGTAAAATTCTGAGTACTTGTGCGTGTAACTTGAGAAATAAGACTTAAAAAACCCCAGAAAGTCCTAGAAAATGTAGTTGATTCTGCTAACGTCTCAAAGTGAATATTGCATTTTGGATGGTCATATTGGAATGGAATGGAATGGAATGGAATGGAATGGAATGGAATGGAATGGAATGGAATGGAATGGAATGGAATGGAATAGAATAGAATAGAATAGAATAGAATAGAATAGAATAGAATAGAATAGAAATCACTGAGGTTGGAAGATACCTTCAAGATAATCCAGTTGAACCGTCCACCCAGCACTGTCACCCCTAAACCACTAAGCCATCACCCAGTGCCACATCCAGATGCCTCTTGCACGCCTCCAGGGATGGTGACTCCACCATATCTCTGGACAATCTATTCCAATGCCTGACCACCCTGACAGTGAAAAAAAAAAATTTCTAGTGTCTAATCTGAGTCTGCCTTGTCTTAGTTTAAGGCCATTTCCTCTGATCCTCTCACTGCAGGCACTGTTAAGAAACCAGTCCCACTACAGGCTCCTTCCAGGTGGTTGTGGAGAGTGATGAGATCCCACCTGAGCTTCTTCTCATCCAGACTGAGCAAACCCAACTCTTCCAATCATTCCTCACAAGACATTTACCCTAGTAAAGGATCTCTCTGAATTTCCCTTTGGTTAAGCCTCTGGTTTCCCAAATATTCCATAGCTTCCTTCCTAGCCTCTCCTAGTTTTGTTTCAATCATAGTATCACTACCCCTGGGTGCCAGCTACCAATTATTGCTTCCTTGTTTGCCATGTAAAAACAGTTACTCAGTTGTCTTTTGTCGCTCAGGGTCTTTGAAGAGTGAGAGTTCCCTTTCTACAGATAATCCTGCTACTTTTTCTGCCCCTTTCATTTTAGTCTTGGCAGTTATAAAATCCCTTCAGTCCCTGAAGAGATTGACATTCACAACGTACCCATCTCTTCAGTTTCCCAAAACTCACTTGCAATTGCCTTTCTTGCTGTACATATATTTTACTTGCTCTGGTTTTAAAAGAGCAGTGACAGCCACTATCTTCAGTATTTGCTAGGAGATTTTTTTCTTAAAGATGTCTGTATTTAGTCTGATATATAATTTCCTTCATCTTGGTAGATGACTTTTTATAGTAGGATTTCAAAGGTAAGACTGTTTTATAGATCACTCTTTGTAATATTTAGAAAGCTGTGAGAACTTGCATTTCAAGTCTGTGAGAAAAATAATGAAGGGTGGTTCAGATCACGATCTCTATTAAATTTTTTTGCTTCATAATTTTCTATTTCCTATTGTAATAAATTCTGATGCATTTAACTTTGCTAAAAATGCACTTCTTTGTACTAAAAAAATACTTCTGTAGTTTTAAACTGTGTTTTTAGAACACTTCTGTTTCCAAAAAATACTTCTGACGGAAAATAGTATTTTTATGTAACTAAAATTAACTTATACTTCAGATATTTTTATTTATATAATTGTTAAAAAATTTTCTAGTTTAGTAAAATTTACTATTTAGTTGTAGTTTGGTTTCTCGCGTCTTTTGATTAAGCTCTGTCTTAATTTAGATTCAAACTATTTACTAACATTCTATTTAATCAAAAATATTGGACTCAAATACTGTGCATATCATGATAGTATAAACAGTTGATTTGAAATGTTAAATTTTGTGCAGACAAGTTAGACCCAAATTTTTTTATTAAGTTCTTCATCAATGCTGGCAAACCAGTGTGAGAGATCTTTTCATTGCTGTGCATCTCATGCAATTTGCCTACAGTCTGTTATTTTCAAAAGATGGTAATAAACCAGGTATTTCATAATTACTAAAAGTACTGTGTCTTGTGTGACCAGCAGAATGCTTCTGCCTTGCCCAAAACTAGAAATAACTCTCAAAACAGAGAATTAGCCATTTATCTTTTATGAAAGAGTGTTGAACACTATATCTGGCTTAATTATTGGCCACAGGAATTGCATGATGTTGTTGACTTGAAGTTCTGAGCAGAACCACATGGGGAAAAAAAGGTTATCTATGAATTATCTGTGTGGTGGGTTACTCTCCTTTTTGGTCACCGTGGTTCATATTGTAAGGATCCAAGCTCTAGGTTTGATCCTGCCAGAGCTTGATCCATTCTAGCTTGTTAGCTACAATGAAACAAATGGAGAGTGATGGTAGTTTGCCTAAAGTTTAGGACGTGCAAAATATGAGTTTTGTTTATTTCTGTACATTTTCTGTATAAGTAGAGATGATTTTTAATAACCTTGCATCAGTAAAATAGATTCATTCTGTATTGTATGTCTGCTGGGAGAAGTGTTTTCAGGAATGGTATTAAAAGCATTCTTTTCCCTGGGAGAGGAGTAGTGAGGTGCTGTTAGAGTACCCAAAAACTCCCTCACAGACATAAGGTAGCTGATAGTGCAATGAAAAGCATTAGCTAGGGGATTCTTGGAATCCAACAGCACAGTAGAAAAACCTGTCTGAATTGTGAACGTTTTGTGTTTGTAACAGCTACTGGTGGAAAAAAAAGAATTTAAACTGCTTTGTTACCTGTGTTGGAGTAATATTACCCAATGGTGTATCACAGTACCTTTTTTTTTTTTTAATTTTTAGCCTTTCATAAATCCTCACGAGAAATGCACTTGTGAGGCACAGCACAGGTGCATTGTTCCATCCTGCATCCTTTGCCCCTTAAATTCCTGACTTCAGTATATGAAGTAAATACTGACTTCAGTATAAATGATTCTATTGCTATTTTATCGCATAATAGTTTCATACACAAGTACTAACTTCCTCATCTGATGTAGGGTTGCTTTTCTCAGTACCTAAAATCAGTTAGTTGCAGTCTTAATTCTTTGCTTGGCAACTAAAATGATATCTTAAACATCTTAATGTGGTCCACGATAAATTGCTTCAGGAACTACTCAGAATTCTTTTGCTAGAATCTAAGTTGCCATTGCTACTAAGGTCTCAAGCTTCTGTTTCTTTTAGCACATTCTGCACCAGGTGTTTTGGCTGGCTTAGCGGTTGATAAAATGCAATCAGAAGGTTTGTTTTCTTAAAGGCACATTGGTATCTGCTGCAACCACAGGAAGCTTTAGCCTTCATTTAGGTTATACAGTGGAACTTGAAATTACTACCCTGTGCTTTTTATACTTTCTGCTTTTTTTAGCCAGTGAGAGCGTGGCTTCCTAACATTCTGCATGCTTCCAGCTATTGTTCCTTTTTCTGTTCATCTATATGCTATGGCAACAAGTAAAATAAGAAGACATGACAATAGGATTTAGCTTGATTCTTTGGTTTTATCTTTTGTAGAAACATAAAGTCTTTGAATTCCAAAACACTTTCCAGTGCTTAGCAGTGTTTAACTTTTCAAGCCAGAATTAATGTTTATCTTGCATTAATGTGTGAATTGTTTTTCTGAAGAATTTGACCAAACAAAATTAGGCTTTCTGTCTATTGCAGGAGATGGCAGATCATTACAGTTTGTTTTGGGAGCACCCTGATTTGATGTTTTTTCCGGTAGATGGGAATTGTGATAATGATCATCTCAACAAATTTGCCATTGTGATTTACCTGTTTTCTATGTTCAAATAACTCATCTGACCTTTACATCTTCTAAAAATATTTTGCATGCACTTTGACAAATTTTAAGTGAGCTTTTTCCCTTTTTATATTTCTCACAGCTGAAGTTCAAACCACCTTTTCATTAATACTTCCTCTATGTAATTCTGGAACTATTTTTCCAGAACTATGGTGCTCGATCTACTCCACAATCTTACTGTTTATTCCAGAAATTACTCAAGTGGCCTCTACAGGATTTCAGAAACTTTTTGAAGAGCCTGGAGTTCCCAAGTATTGTGAAATCTGGTTTTTTTCTATTTTTCCTAATAGGATGCAGCACAGATGCCAAGCAATCTGAGGAGCAATCTGCATCTGCAAGTGAAGAACTTTATCCTTTCTGCAGGGAGCCCAGTTATTTTGAAATCCCTACTAAAGAGTGCCAGCAAGCTTCACAGGTAGCAGAGAGCACTATTCACGAAATTCCCACAAAAGATACTCAAAGCCCCCACGCAGCAGCTTCAGGGCACGCTTCCTTTACCATTGAATTTGATGACAACACTCCAGGAAAAGTAAAGATCAAGGATCATGTGACAAAGTTCACGTCGGAGCAGCGCCACAAGTCGAAGAAGCCTTCGTCCTGCAGCGGGCAGGACCTGCCGGGGCTGCAGACGGTGATGATGGCAGCCGAGAGCAAAGTGGCAGATTGGCTGGCGCAGAACAATCCTCCGAGAATGATATGGGAGCCCACAGAGGAGGACTCCAAAAGTATCAAGAGTGATGTTCCAGTGTACCTGAAGAGGCTGAAAGGTAAAGTGAATAGTTACAGCTATGCTTAGCTCTGAAAGCAGCAATTCTTGCCAGCATGCAGTCAGAGGATCCCTGAGCCTATGCGGAGTTCAGATCTGGGCTGGAAGCTGTATTGTTGAATTAAGTCTTGCAAAGAGCATAAGAAACCAAATGCTGAATCATTTTACAATCTATGGTAATTGGAGGTGTTCTAGTGTGGCTGAAAACATCAGGTACTTAAACACTGATCTTGAAAAAGAAAAGGAAAAAATCCAACATTTAGTTAAACTTTATATATCTCAATTTTTCTCATGAAGTACTTTAAAAACATGGATTGCTTTTTAGAATCAAAGCTCTGAAGTTATGCTTTTAGCAGCTCTTTCAGTAGCATATCTTCTGTGATTATTTGTATCTTTGTATATTTTCTAAGAAAATAATTTATGGCAAAGAATACATCATATACTCATTCTGCTTATATGGATCATGTTTGGTAGAGTCCAGTTGGAGTCAGGAATCAGACATAAAGCAAGCGCTTCAATTTTTATACTCACCTTGTGGACTGTTGTATTCATATGAGTGCTGCTGTTGAATGGAGTTCCAGGTGATCATAAATGTTAATTTATTGCAGACAGTGACATTTCAAATGAAATTAAATAAAATGTTACACATGACAAGTGCACCTTCTCTAGAGTGTCACTTAATGGAATAGAGAAGCAGATAGTCTTGATGTTCAGATGAAGAGTCCGGTACCATTCAAACTTGCTTAAGGAAAACTTCTGATGAACTTTTTCAAGTCTCTCTTTTTTTCCATTTTCAATTTCAGCTGCTTAACCCTACAATTCTCATTTTCCTTGGCTCTGCAACATTATCATGTCTAGTTTGTAAACCAGCTGGGACTGGGTACAACATTCTTTGCCTTATTGATCAAAAGTCTGCTTTTTAAGGTTGTCCCTTTCAAATTAAGCTAAAAATAAAATTCTGAAAGCAGAGTTAGATTAATGTGCTGGCATAAAGATAATAGTATATTATTTTTTCCAGTGTAAATCACATTCTTTGGCCTTCATGTAAATATATTATATTCATGAATATTCTTTAATATACTAGCTATGACAGTTTGATAAATAAGAAGGGGTTTTGTTTATAAGCCTTTTCCTGACAGAAACTCCACAAAATCTGATTAATTTTCATCTGAAAGAGGTGTAAGTTATGGGATTCATATGGCCATAATAAATATCTGAATTTTGTAATCTTCTATGGCCTGTTTGTATTCTCAGTCATTAGTTTTACTTTTAGATAGTAAATATACCTAGGTGCTTTGAGAGTTCGATTTTTTTTTTTGAAAACTCAAAGCTATTTTTTTCTCCTCAGTTTTTTCTTATAATATTCTGCACTGAAGTCCCACTGCTAAAATTAGACTGTATGACTTTCACTGGGATGTTGCTACTGCTTTATTATTATTTGGAAACATCAATAATCACAGAATTTTTGTAGGCATTATTCTAACAAGTAGAAAACAGGAGTGTAAGTTGGGATTTCAGCTGTGTCTTCAGTGGTGTTAGTCTGATAAGTTAGATTAGCCAATATGTAATTACTGTTTAACTGAATAGTAGCTGCATATCCTAACTATTTAAATGAGTAAACCATAAAGAAGCTGACCTCTTGAGAATCAAAAATACAGAAATTGGACATTGTATATATGTGTAAAAGCAGAATTGGATCTAAAAGAGTTCAGAGAGGATGAAAGTCTTCCTTCTCAGCTACTGAGCTAAAACTTAGGAGCATTGATGCTTTCATTGTACATGAGGTTGCTCTGTGTTAAATACACTTACTATGTGTAAGTATCCAGCCTTCACACATTTTCAGGTATTGTTGCAAAGTACATCTCTAGGTGTATGTATGATTTATGAAATATGTAATCCTTATTCATAGATCTCAGAGTAGTTCATGGAATGAATGAGTAATAACAACCATTTTACTTGCACACATCAGATGCTGAGCAGAGTGAATTATGGAAAAACTCATTGCTCTTCTTGGAAAAGTAATAAAGAATTCAATCCAAGTTTAAGTAGACATTTCTCATGATAAACTGTTGTAAATGTGAGAGGAATCCAGAAATATGAACTGTGGCTCTCTTTCCACTGTCAGAAGGACTTTATTAAGGTTTTCTTTTTCCCTCTTAACCCTGCCTGGAATGTGTCAGTAGTCATTTGTAATCAACTGGCTTTCTAACAATACCGATACAATTCAAAAATATGCTATAGTACAGCTGGTAAAATACTGGCTTTTGTATGTCACTGATAAGTATTCACAGATGAGAATATTGGAGAAAGGATACTTCAAATGCACTGCTGTTACTGATCAGCTTTGAAAATGTTTCCTTGTTTGAATTGTAGCAAGTTGATTGCATTTCCAGGAACTGTACCAAATTTGCAGAGCCAGGTCTATAAGCTATTGGAGTTGAAACAGAAATCCACTTTGAAATAATTTCCTTCCTAGTTTGCTGCTTGGCTTTTTTTGTAGATGTAATGTTGTGGTCTTACCTTGTTTCACTGTGGTATATATTGTTTTGCTTTGCTTGTAGGGAATAAGCATGATGATGGCACACAAAGTGATTCGGAAAATATTGGTGCACACCGGCACTACAGTAAACGGGCGGCACTTGAGGAGCACTTAAGGCATCATCATACAGAGCTGAAAAAGTCACACCAGAAAGTCCATTCCACAGAAAAGCAGCAAGAACAAGCTGGTTTGAGTCAGACTGCCTTTATGATTGAGTTTTTTGATGAAGACCATCCTCGCAAGAGACGTTCTTACTCTTTTTCTCAGAATGTAGGAGCTCTGGGCCCAGAATCTCCATCTCCGACATCTCATGCACGAGCTGAAAGAGTGAAACCTGCATCAGGAGAGAAAGTCCCTTCACCTGTGCAAGCCAGCACATCACACCACAGAGCAGTACATGGTGTTCATGCCAAACTTCTAAACCAGAAATCAGAAGAACCCTCTGCTGCGTTACCTGCCTTACAAGCTGCGTTGTTAAGGAGTTCAGGAAGCTTTGGCCATAGGCCTACTCAGAACCAGGAGATGGACAAAAAGTTGAAGAGCCAACATATTTCTGCTGCTACTGAAAAGGACAATGAGGATGACCAGAGTGACAAAGGTACTTACACTATTGAGTTGGAAAATCCCAATCCTGAAGAAGTGGAAGCCCGCAAAATGATTGACAAGGTGAGAAACCTGAAATGCATTCTGATCTTAAAAGTGTTATTGCATGTGTGGGCAGCTCTCTATCCCTTCTGTTCTGCTTATTAAAACTGCTGCAATAACACAAGTTTTTAAACCTGTCTATAATGTTGAAATACAAAATGTTGTAAGAGCAGCAGTAGGCATTTGGTTAAACGTTATTCCTTTTTGCATACTGCTGTTGTCTTCAAGCTTGGTAGTTTTAATGTGTTTCCAAAAGATTTCAGTACCAGGCACCAAAAATCATTTAACCATAAAAAATACCAGGCACCAAAAAATCACGTAGCTGGTACTTTTATCAGGATGGTTTGTGTTCTTGTGGAAGTACCCTCTTGTTCTTGAAAACCTCTTGTTTCTAGTTTTCATAACATAAATTGGTTCCATCCAAATTATTATATAGATATAGGTTGCAAATGTTTTCTATACTTATTAGAAAAGTGTATTCAGTAACAGTAACTGAATTTCAGTGTCAGCTGTTAAGAGTAAGTATGAAAATGCTTTGATTTTCCAAAAGTGTTTATATGATAGCAGTGTAAATTTCCTAGTTTGCTTATTGGTAACCATAGAAATATCAATAACAGTACAAATTGTATTTGCAGTTTAAAAACTGTATTAAATAACTATTCTTTGGATTCAACAGGAAAATATGGGTAGCAGAAGGCTATGTCTAATAATTTTGCTTAACATGACTTGAAATGGACTTTTTCTGCTTTTGTTGTGTTTTCCTAGATAATATATCATTGTAGAATGCCTGCATCCAATTCTAGGCTAGGGTTTTGCAAATTTACAGTAAATTCATTGTTTGGAATTATCTAAGGATTCATTTACATGTCTAAAACTTTTCAGAGCTAAACAAATACATTCATACATTTAGAATTCATCTTGGTTAGTGTTGAAAACTGTTTTGCAAGAGAAGCTAGCTTCACTTGTTTGATTTTGTAAAAAAAATCTAAAGTAGTGGGGAAATGGAACATTGCATTATAGATTATTTTCTTTTAAAAAAGGTGTTTATGGAGCATTTGGAGACAGGGATTAAAGTAAAGGGTGTCACCTTCAATGAAATAATAAAGATAATATTTTCACGTCTTTGGATTCTGAAAAGGAAATTTTTTACTTCTTTAAATCAATGTTCAAAAGTCAACTGGGAACTAAAAGCATTCCAAATGAAGCAAGTAAATATTAAAGAACTACAAATTTCTACATTTATTCTTAAATTATAAATCTTCAACTAAATAGCATCAGAAAATTTGTAAGTCAAGTTTTAGCTAAATCTAGTAGTTCAACAGGGCTGTTTTGGAAAGCACACCAAGTAATAACATTTAAAAATAGACAATTTATGTACTTGATAAAAATGTTATTACTGCCTAATGTTATAATCAGAGAATGTGCTGAGTTGGAAGGGACCCATTAGGATCATTGAGTCAAACTCTCAGCCCTACACAGGCCATTCCAAGAATCACACCCTGTGATTCTCAGAGAGTTAATAAAATTCCAACTTTTTTGTGGCCTTCAGTACCCGTTCAGATTATCTAAAGTCAGTTTTTTGTTTGAATCAAATATCTCCTGTTACAGGAGAGATTCAAGAACAGGAAGTGAGTGGAAGCCTTAAGAATGGTAGTAAAGTATTGCTTCATAATCTTAGTGTTATATAAAAGCTTTTGGGTATCATAAATTTCCTTTACTGCTAACTTTAAAGGTGTCACCACTACGTATTAAAGATTTACTATGAAGTAAAGCAGAGATATTTTCTCTTCAAGGTCTTCTGTATCATTTCACTTAGTATCTGTGTTGAAATCTTATGAACACTATATTTTACACCCAGTTCAAAGAGCCCTGCTCTGCAATTCTTATTTGATTTGGTAATACGAAGTAGTATGATACTATTTTTATGAAGTGCAGAAAAATAGCCAATGAAGAAAATCTAAACCAAATGGAAGCCAAAATTTTTGTCCTCCAGCTGAGCTCAGCTTTGCTTCCTTCCTATTTTAAATTGCTAATGCTTTGGATAATCTTACTTGGCCAAAGGGGGATAAGTGAGGTATAAGACAAGGACTTTGTAAGCCTGTTGACTCATGTGCTTCTTTATTGAGGATTTAAGAGAATTATTGGTATACATCTTATCAATTATTTCAGTATAACCACCCTTTCATTGTTGGCAAGTCAGTCCTTTTTCTGAGTAGTTACTATGCCTGCTCAACTGAGTCATTTAAGGGTGTCTCTTGGGTCCAAACTTTAATTGAAATTCAGGAGTTTACTTTGCTAGGATTGGGATGAAAGTGCACTATAAATAGCAAGGATCACTTTCTAAAACATTTGCACAAATAATGCATTCTTCTGAGTAGCAATTTACATTAGAATGGTGCTAAAATCTGTGTGTGGTTTACCTAAAAAAATTTCAATGGAATAAAGTAATTCTGTATTTGGATATTTTCTCCCTTTTATTGGAGAAAAGGATGAGAATGACCAAAATATCCAAAGATTACTCCCAAGTGTGACTCATTATTAGCCTTAGCCTCAATTTTCTCTGGAAAGAAACATAAGAGCAAACCACAATTGCAAGAATAGTATTAACCTGTAAAAAATCAAAGTGAGATTATTAATGCTTCTTTACATTAAGAATCCAAGAGAAACATGCAGGAAGTCAAAGTTAAAATTCTCAGAAAAAAATTGAAAAAACCCATCTCTCTGTGTAATTCTAAGAAAAGGGGAGTACAGATCTTAATGTTGAGCTGTATTACTTCCTTCAAAAGTACTGGTTTTGCTTAGTGTAGCCTTTTGCTAAAGATTGAAGGAAATAGTCTCAAGAAGAGTAGATGCTTGTGTGAAATTATTTTAAAAAGCCAGAAACTATGCTGTCCTGCTTATTCAGCATCTTTATTTCATTTAGATTGCTAAGGATCCAGTTCTTCCTCTGGTGCTTTTCAGCCTCTAAGAAAAAAGTATTGTCACTATAGCAGAAAAGGAGCAGAATAGCAAATGACAGAACCTTTGTTTGTCAACCATTTTAAAGCCTGACTTTTGAGAATAGAACGTGAGAAAAATGCATTATCAGAAAGAAAGAGGAAAATATGTAATAAGTAACAGACAAAAGCTTTTTAATTTCAGTTCTTTTCCATAACAGAGAGGGGTAATCACATATCTGCAGTCATGACTGTCTTGGGGTGAATGTCTTCTACTTACCTAAAATGCAAGTTTTCAAATATATTATTGCTTGTGTCTTATACAACTTTCGAAGATTTTTTAAAAAGATTTATTTTAAGGTTAAAAAGTACAGTACATATGCACATAGTTTTCAATTGTAAATGTTAAAAGAAGATGCAAGTCGAAATTTAGTTGTGTCTTAATATTCTTTATGAATACAGAGTACTTGAAAAAATAACACTAAACTTTGCTTCCTAAAAGTCCTTTCATTAGTCAACGATATTTCTGCATCCAGGCGTTCAAATGTCACTGAAATTCATAGAGCAGTGTGAATTGGTTAGTAGGCTAAGGTATAGAAAATAAATATATTAATAACAGGAGAAAAATAGATGATAGGTCTCTTTTTGTACTTGTAGAGCTCTTTGTTGAATTGCCACTGGGAGCAATTTCATCAGTGTGGTAAGAAAGCAAGCTGCTCTTGTATGCCACAAAGCCCACCTTGGACATATGTGTCATAAAATATCCTCTACTCAAATAGCATCAGAAAGGCACAACTTTTTTCTAGCAGAATAATGGTCTTATTGTTGCAGCTAACAGCTAAGTACAAAATGAAAGAAATTCAGGATCTTGATTTAATTTAGAACATGTTTTCAGTGTTTAGTTTTCCATATAAAATACATGAGTAAATGTGGCACAGTTGTAGGATTTGTTTTTCCTCTACATCCAGCCTTTATGCTCTTTAGATGGATTCAGTGCTTTCTTCTGTTAACACTTAGCAATTGCTTTCTTTTTATCTCTGAGTTGTAAATTTTCTATCCATTTTATGTTTTTTAAATGAATCAATCTATTAGAAGAAAGTTGTTCTCAGAAGTCATATCACATTAAAAAATCTTCATAGGCCACAGAAAAGGTAAGTCTGCCAGTGGATGAAAGAATTTAAAATGATGCTTCTGCAGTTCATCTTCCTTTTTTGTAGATATAAAGAGACCAAATTATCATGGTAATGACTTTCTTTTTTCAATAAAGCAAAGTACTGTCAGTAATAAATATTAATAAATGAATGTGCAAATAATTCTGCATGTGTTTGGAATATTAAATAGTTTGACGCTATTGCAGTAAATAAAAAGCAACTCAATGGGGGGTTTTGTGAGTTCTTTGGGGGTTTTCTTCAGGGCTCTTTTTCTGTTTGTTTTGTGTAGGGTGTTTTGTTGTCTTTCTTCTTCAGCCAGTTTCATTTTAGGGTATTTAAAAATTGAAATATTTTATAAAACTTACTATAGCAGATGTAAGCTCTTCTATACATGTGTGGGAAGGGATGGAATAGAATTGAGGCTATATGAGGGTTTCAAGTCCTGTCCGATAACCAGGAAATCTGGGATGTTGCAACAGTTCATATGCATATGGAAACATTTGGCTTTGGTCCCCAAATTTTTTGGCTTTGGTCCCCAAAATTTTGGTCCCCAATTTTTTTACTTGATTTATGTTATTTTAATTTACATTTCCTTAAAGATAATTGATTTTTTCATCAGCATAAAAATTTAGATCGCAAATTCAACTGATTCATACTGATTTCCAAACAGATGACTTGAAAAAATGTATCAAAATCAAACCTCAATCCATCCTGTCCCCTTCAAAAAGACTTACTGTGACCATGTAATGATTTTGTTTTCAGTGCAAGATCCATAGTCTAGATGTTTTAAAGTCTTTATGTAGATAGACGGGCCCTAGCAGTAATGATCTTGTTTTTAATATGCAGTCTATCACCTTCAATTTTATTTGATTAAATACTGTGCAATGAGTATACATAAATCTTGAGAGAGATTCTTCTTTCCTCTTTAAAATTT